TGATACTCACCCCCTCAGGATCAATATTGGTGATTTTGTACTGTGGTATAAATTCAGCTCCATATTTTACCCTGGCTAGAAACTTTGGTCAGTAGGAAGAAAATTGTTTTTGTCCATATTTACAGTATGTTGTCTCTTTTGTCCCTTAAATGTTTTCCTGGTTAATTAAATTGGAAAGCATGTTTTTGTTATGATGATGATGATGAAGATGCTGCCCTGAAACAGAAGGGTTTTTCTCTGATTTCTCATTCTGGGTTGTTTATTGTCAGTACTGAAAACACAAAGAGTGTGGCTGCAGAAAAGCTGTTATTGCCTGAGTGGTTTCCAGATTTGATCAACCTCTGGGAATCACAGGAAGGCAAATCCCCAGCTGTATTGTTCCGCTACAGTCTTGTGATGACTTACAACCTGCTGTTTCCTTCAATTAGTCCTAGTGGGTCTACCAGGTGAACTTTAACCACACCTTCTGGCCGTCCTCTTGACAGAAGAAAGAGAAGAAAAGGCGTCGATTTCAGAAACAAGAGATGCTGATTTGAGAAATGAAGCGGTTTGAAATCCTATACAAGGAGAGCAGTGACTCTGGTGCTCTCTTCACAGCAGGGTCTGGCATGGGGAGCCTCTGCCGGGAAACTTGAATTAACGTTTAAGGAGAGCGGTGACACTGGTGCTCTCTTCACAGCGGGGTTTGGGGAGCCCAGGCGGGGGCACTGTGCTGAGCATGGCTCTCTGCGTCCCGGCGCGCGTGTGAGCGAGGGTGTGTGTGCCAGCTGACGCTTCCTGCCTTCTCCACGACTAATGCCTGTCCCTCTCTCTGCAGGTGGCTGCCCACACAGGAGAAAGGCCTCCCTCCAGGTTCACCTAGTCTGTTTCCTTTGCAGCGTCTGGCTGTGTGGCTGCTGCTGGCTGCTGCTTATGCTTGTGGGCCGCAACCCTCCCCCCTCCCCCGCTGCCCCCCACCCCGTCCCCTTTGCTCTCCCAGCAGCGCCGGCGACGGCAGAGCTCCCCAGGGCTGGGTGCTGCAGGCTGCAGTGAGAGCCGAGGGTGAGAGGGGCCCGTGTCAGTGTGCCTCTCTCTCTCTCGCTCTAGGTTACTCCCTGGTGCAGGACGAGCTCCTCTCGCCCACCTCCATGCAATACATCCTGCCGTCCCCGCTGAGCACCGAGCCATACTGGCAGGAAATGTCCAGCCTGGAGTGTGCGCCCATCGCCACCACAGAGGAGGACACGCTGATGGAGATGTCGGAGGTGCAGGTGTGGCCCTCAGGGGCCAGCCCGTCCCTGGTGCCTGTGGAGGACTCCTCCTTGGAGTGCAGTAACGCAGACGACTCGGACGCAGCCCTGGAGGGTCGGGGGGGCCTGGGCATGAGCGGGGGCGGGCTGAGCGGCTCGATGGACCTCGTGGAGGATGAGGCAGGGGATTCGGATGCAGCCAGTGTCAACGGGCTGGACCGAGGTCAGAGGTCAGAGGTCACAAGGGCAGAGGCGCTGGGCAGTACAGAAGGAGGAGGAGGAGGAGGAGGGCTCAGCTCAGAGGAAGGGATTTCTCTCATTTCAGGACAGCAACGGGTCTATGCCCGTCTCAGCGAATCACCCGGATTGAGCCATGTTGCGGAGCGGAATGGAGACAGGTGAGTGAGCGCTGACAGCTCGGCCTGTCACGTCCACCCAGTGACCTTCTCCTGCAGTGCACTGTCCGATGTCATGTCATGCTAGAGTTGATTAACACGAGGTTTTAATTGGGTACTTCTGATTGACTATTGTTCAATCTAGCTACAAATTCCACATTCTTATCAACTTTTAAATTCTAATGCACCATGGTACCTTCTTTGCAAAAGCTTGTTATTAAAGCCCAAAGAGAAGAGGAATTGCATTAAATAATTTTATAAAGTCTTCCGTCTTCTTTCTCTCTTTTAACGTCAATAAGTTCCTATTGGGCTTTTTTTTATTTGCAACTCTCACTCTTTTTTAACATCTCACCTTGTGTATCTCACTTCCACTGTATATGTGCAATCTCATGTTCTCTCTCTCCCTCTCTCTCACCTCTTCTTTCTCCGCCTCCCCCCACCCCTTCTGTCTTGGTCTGTCTTGCCTGCAGGTCAGGGGGTGGCTCGTTCCTGTCCTATTTGCAGGAGCAGTCAGGGTCCACCTGGCAGAGCCCCCCAGAGTCGTCCCAGAGCTGGGTCAGCCAGCAGAAGCATTCAGTGGTGTCAGCAGTACAAAGCAGCGACCTCAGCCAATCGCGCATCTCCCAGGAGTCCCTGCTGCAGCCAGTGCGTGACACGGGGCACTCCGAGATCCTGCGGGGGCACTTCCTGGGCACGCAGCCCTTTGAGAAAGGAGTGGGCTTTCAGCAGAAGAGCCAAGAGCTACGGGCATGGGCAGAGGATAGACTGCGATCTGGGCAGGTCAGCATTACAGTGACATTATAGGGGCACAGAGATCCAAGGAACATGCCATCCACATTGGCATAAGAGTGCCAGGGATGGCATGGTGTCACAGGTGGTGAGTTGGTCAGATGGTAACGGAAATGGTCAGCTCATTTAGAGAAAGAGATGGAGTTGTACGGTCGATGCAGGATACAGCATGGCCTTTGGAGAAACCACTTAAGGAGCATCTATGAAGAATAGTGAACTAACAGGTGAATGAGCATGATGAACCAAATGCCCTTCACCTACACATGATATCTCTCATGTAAAGACGGGGTATTTAGCCTGATATACTTCAAATCAAGACCTCTGCAGTACTCTGATACATCCAGCTCTTTCATTTTTATGTTGATCCTGGTAATTGCCAATTAAAAATTAAGTTGCTGACTGATGCAAAATTCTGCATTGGAGAGGATTGAAAGGGTCACAGGTTGAATATCCCATTGTTATGGTACAGTAATACCCAGCACAGCGGTTAATACTGTACAGCCCTCTCCTGCTTATTTTATGCAGTCTAACTGTTGTGAGGGATATAGATGATTGTATGACATTCGTCCAGCAATGACAAAAACAGGTTGTCTCAATTACGAAGAACCCTGGGGGGAAGATTGAAGCACAGCAGTTGCTGTAGTAAGGAGGTGAGTGAACATGCAGGCCTGCAGCATGTGGTATTGAGTTTTGCAATTGGAAACAGGGGTGTTCTTGCCGTGCTCTGGAGTGCAAAGTGAATGGGCACCTGCTGCATTACACACTGCTTTCCTAAGAGGGCCAAGGCAGATTAATATAGAACTAACTTTCCAGTCCTCTGGAGAAAGTGTATAGACACCCCTGATCTGATTGAGAAGTTAAGTAAGGAACAGGAGCTCAGAGTTAGCAAAAGGCCAAGCTAAGACAACAGCACAGGATCTCCCCTGTTTTTGTTGGGTCACGAATCCCTGGAATTCTGCTCTTTCCCAGCTAATTGCAAAGGCAGAGGGTTTGGAAAGGAAACAGAGGGGTAGTTAAAACACCGCACTCGCTCACACATTTACACGACCGAAGAAGGACACAGACTCGGATAGCTTTTCCAAATATAGCCTGTGCCACTGTCACAGTCACCCTATACTTGGCACTGTGGGTCTCTCTGGGTTGTTGCAGCTACTGTACCAGGAGCAGAGCAGTAGTCAGCCCACATAGAGTATATGGGCCTTATTCTTTGTTGAAGGGCAGGTCAGACTCTCTCTCAGTAATTTCCTCGGGGGTTTCCAAATGGTTGTATCCTTTCACCTTTATGGTAGAGATGCTCAAAACTCAAATGATTTAAACAGCCCTCACTTTCTGCATCCTCACAAAAGCATTGAGGAGCAAAATTACTATTTTCAATATAACTATATTAAATATAGAGATGATTTGGCCTTGCAAAAAGATATTGAAGCACCTGAACTAAAACATTGTGAAACAGTTAAGTAAAACAAAGAAACAAAGACATAAGACATGTTCCTCTTCTGTAGGAAGGAGTGGAGTAATACCATTCTTAAAGAAGTATTTTTAACAGTACACTGCTATAATGTCAGTATAATCTGAAAGTAAAAATTAAACAGATCGAATTTCTCATTTTTCAATGTATCAGATACTGAAATGCTAAACTATTTTTCTTTTCTTATTACTGTTTTATTCATTGGCGCAACGTAGAAAGCTTTGCAAATTCCACCTTGACAGCAATAAGACGTGACAATGGGGTTAAATAATTGTAATTCTCTTAAAGGTGCCAGTAACCTGAGCTTGTTTTCCTCCTCTCTGATACTGCGGTGTCCTGGACTTGCAGGAGATGAGGGCGCTGGGGAGATCAGTTTTCCTGTGGTCAGCACATTGCTGGGCAGGGAAGGAGAATGCTCCAGGCAGAGAGGACCAGGGCTAAAAGAACTTTGTTTGTTCTCCTGGAGCCTAAGATAAGAACACACACCTGACAGAATGACAATGTAGTACTGCGGGGCCTGTGATTTATTATTAAATGTGCTCTGCGTGTGGACAGCTACAGTACATGCCAGGTCAATAATTTTACCCTCTCAAGTGTCATTAGCACTGAAGGAAGGATATATATTTGGATTGCCTTGTGCCTAACAGAAGGTCAGAGTTGCTAATGTAGGCTGCAGCTCCAGCAGTGATTTTGTTCTCTGCCAGTTGTGCACAACTGTAGACTCCTACTGTTTATGCCCATGACTCCATTTTTCAGCACATGATTGGAACAGCTGAGCTCAGCTGGTCAAGTGTTGACGCTCCCTGCATGCTGTAGCCTGTTATTGTGTTGGTCGTTGAGATATTGGGTTGCGCTGAAGTCTGTGGTTTTTTATGTTGGGTTTAAGGCTCTGTTAAAGCAGAAGGAACGGAACAGTCGCATAGATGGCGCCACCTTTGATTGTGGTTTTTTCAAATTGTGCGGATTGACAATGTACAGATGGCCCAAACATGTCATCATCTCCTGGGCGGAGCTGTAGCATTCTCAAGATGCGTTCGCAGACACCTGCTGGTTCCCCAGGACTTTGGTGAAAGAGTCTTACTGATAGATTTGGTTCCAGAGCTGTAGAAATGAGGTGACAAGGCGCCAGGGTGATACTCAGTTCCACATCCGAAAGGGCACTGTGTTGGGTGCGCTGTGGTTATGCCAGTCAGTGCAGTAATTGAGTTGACGGGGACTGGGAGCAGCTGGAGAGATTGCCCACGCCTGAGCCCCTCTGACAGGGGCTGGAGCTGCAGCTGTGTTCCCGCTGTGGGCAGAAATGTTTGCAGGAGGTATTTAAAGCTGATGGATCACATGCACATACGCAGGGGCAGGAGGGTTGTTTTTGGAAGCGAGCTTAGCCAAGGGAGAAGTGGCTGAAGCACCGAGCTCGGACTGCACAAGCCACATTTGGGAGCATGGGCCAGCTAGAGTTACCACACTGCTGAGCGCGACAGCAGACCCCCGACCCAGACCCAGGAGCAGACAGACAGAGAGGAGGGCGTGAGGGGCTGCCGGGTGTCCTGGGTGGCTGGGGAGCATGTGGACTCTGCTGACGGAGCTGCTTTTCAGCCTGGTGCTGCTGGCCTTCTTTGTGATCAGCTGTCAGAACGTGCTGCACATTGTGACGGGCTCTCTGCGCTCTGTGCTCAAGTACGTCCACCAGCAACTGGACCAGGAGCTCGGCGAGAGCGAGGGCGTGCAGGACGACGAGGAGAGCGTTACCACGCGCGTGGTCCGCCGCAGGGTCATCGTCAAGGTAACCAGGCGTAGCTGCTACGGCAGAGACGGGGCTGAGCTGATCTATCCTCATCTCTGGGACTGATTTAGACAGCAGGTTACGGTTTATACAAATACCACATTCTTGCAGTATGAGCTACGGCAGCAGTGACTGATGCAGGCCTATGTTGGTGAAATCATTGTGATCAGTTTGGAGGACAGTCGGGATTTCTGAGGACATGACAATAATACAGCCTGACTACTGTGAGGCACACTGCCTCACTCCTGAATCAGTCATTATGTGTGGCCCAGTCCCATGTTCTGCAAGTAGAAACTCCTGCAGGCTACAGATCTGGCTGACATAGGCACCCTGCACATTCAGGATCTTCAGGATTCAGTATTGGGATGGTGATGTTAAGGAGGGGGATGATTTTGGGAACTGAAGGAGGACATGACAATAGTTCACTTAAACACTTCCCTTCAGCTTTATAAAATACCACCCTGACTACAGCTTCCTGTCATGCTGAAGCCCAGCTTCTGTCATTGCTGAAAACAGTCTTTTTATCCTTTCCTTTCTACTAGACTTTTGTTAAGCAGTTTAGGACAGGCATCATCAAACATTAATGGTGTGATATGAAAAAAGAAAAGCAAGAGAACTCTAAACATTGCAGCATTGGTACGTGAGTTTACAGCTTTAGATGTTTGTGTTTTATTGGGCTGTGGAGTTTCCTGGCATTAACCCTCAGAAGGACAAAGGTGAGACCTCAGGTGTCTCCCTCTGGGTGTTGTCCCAGATGAGGCACCTATACAACAACAGGAGAGCTCAGAATCTGTAAAGAGCAAAGAATGATGCCGCAGTTGTGAAACATGTTGTGGTCTGTGAATTGTTATTACTGTACATCGATGATAAACCCAACCACCTGGCTGTGTATACCAGCATATTGTCCGATGTGAGAGAGGTGGAACCTTCAGTCAGATATTTGTGCTCCGATGTCTGAGTAATTTGAGTCCAGTGGATTGAAATGCTACTGTGTGTGGAGAACAGGGAAGTGGTCTAATGAAGACAGTTTGTAGAGAAAGGACCTGCATGCGGACATCTCATTCTGTCAAGAGAGAGCAGGTGGGGCATTAGAGTACATGGGAAAATCTTGGACCCTTTGGGAATCAGCTTTTGTGCATGTGGGTTTGGTTTTTGTTTTGCTTGTGGAACTCTCTGCCAGACCATGGTTAGCGACATAACTGAGCTTTCGGAAGACACGCAGAGGAGCGATTGAGCCAGGACGTCTAGGAAGGTGGCTGGCAGGGAGTGCTCTGTGGAAAGAGGGCATGCTAATTCACAGACAGACAGGAGGATGTCCTATTTATACATCAGTGCTGGAAGTACAGAGATCAGCTGTGCTGGATTAAGACTCCGTTCTCACAGCAAAGCCCTGATAAACCACCCCTGCCTGCTTGCAAGTTTTCTGTAGCCCTTTTCTAATAGCAGCCAGGATAGTAGCGCAGCTCCTGATGGGTATTTTTGCTGTCTTGTTTTTCTTTCTCACCAATTGCTGTTGACTCCAAATTACTGAGGGTGAGCTCCAGGGTCCTGTTGAGAGTGTCCGATGTCACTCACGTTATGCATTACAGCCTTCTCTTTTACAGTAAGAAATTTCACTCTCAGTAATTTCAACAGTAATAGAAGAGTGATTGGCTTTATTGACTCGGGATGACTTCATTGATTAGTTGCTATTCTGAAGGCAGGCAAGGAAAGGATGCTCCGCTCTGGGCGGAATGCTGTCCTCTGCTTGGCACTGGAATCTTCCATACTTCCATACTCACAGTTCTTAATTCCTGTAATTCCTATATTGGTATGCCTCTCTGCTGATCTGTAGATCAAGGAAATATTTTTTTTTCATGTGATAGCTTCCTTTCACTGCCAGAGATACTCAGTACTAGTCCTACCTAGCCCAAGTATAAGTCAACTGGTGAGCATCACCTATGATCTGGAAATGTGTTATTTTTTTTACTGTTTTGAGATTTGCTGTTGTGTCGCTTGTGGGGTTCAGTACTATTTCCACAGACTCAAGCATTAACTTGGTTAAACACTCACAAACGTTGTGTGTTGTATTACGTTCTTCTTTATTTGTGTGAGATTGTGTGACAAATTGTCTCAGTAGCTTTATTATAATCATTAACACTGTTTTATCATCTGCAAACTCTTGTTAGCTGTGTGTATGTATATATACTACAACACATATATGTGTTCTTTCCTCATTCTTACATTTTGACCAAGGTTTAGCCTAATAATTGCCGATCACAACTTTTCTTTGTGAACGGCAATAAAAAACACTAACTCCTGCTCAAACAGACGTGAGTACCAAGATTTGCACAAACAGCAGATTGAAGTGTTAAACACAGCTGTATTGGGTATAGTGCAGATTTACTAATGGACTGTTTAGGGAAATATTACACAGTCTGAGGATGTAGTAGTTTGAGGATCAAGAGGAACAAGGCAGTTTAATTTGCATTGTCAGACTCATTTTCCTGTTTCAGAAGTGTGTGCGAACAGTTTGTTGTCGATGTGGGTCTGAGTGCTGGGGTCTCCCTCAGTGTGGTGTGTGCAGTTTGTGCTGGTTGGTGGGATGGTTCTCAAGAGGTTAATATTGTGACATTTCACTTGATAAAGGTTGCTATTATATTGGTTACTAGTCCTGCAGTGCCACATGTTTGAGACTGTCATTGTGACTCTGCCTATATGCAGTGTGTGAGCTTGTCACTGTGCAGGGCGATTGTGGGATTGTGCGAGGTTCAGACTGCTCCTGTACAGTGTGTGAGCTTGTGACTGTCTCCTGTGCTTCAGGGCGATGAGGTAGAGGACATTCCAGGAGAGCAGGTGAGCGAGGAGCAGTTCACCGATGAGCATGGCAACATCATCACCAAGAAGGTGAGTAACACGATGTCACTCTAACTCATGGGCAAATAATAATCATATACCTAAAGTACACAAGCCTTACTTTGAATATAAGACTTTCTTACATTACAGAAGTCTTGTTGGCAGTCTGTATGCTAAGTCTTTAAAAACAGGCAATATAAAAGCAATAAAAGCAATATAAAAAATATTTACAATAAGTCGTTAGATAAGTCATTATAATACATATAAAATGTATTATAATTAGTCATGTATAGGAAGTTGTATGTTCTCCAAGGCTACCTAGTGCACAAACTGCTAGTGTGACTTCTGTAATATAAGTGTTTTTAATTTTCAATATTTACCATGTGCTCAGAAGGAGGGCGTTTTTCATTATTTTCACATGTAGATAGTGCCTGGTTTTTGGTTTTGTGTGTGTCCTGAAGCTGAATTCATGCTCGTTTGAGGACCCAGTGCAGGCTGCCGTTAACACTCGGGGTCATGGGTATTGCTCTCCTGGTCCGTGCTGGATCCAGGGCCCTAACGTCCTGTCCCGCGTTGACTCCCCAGATAGTGCGGAAGGTGGTGCGCCGGATGAAGGACTCGGGGGAGGGTGAGGCGCAGGAGGTGAGCGTGGAGGGGTCCCTGCAGGAGCCCGAGGAGCTGGAGGCTGAGGCTGAGCAGTTCATGAACTATGCCATCCTGGGGCGAGAGAGCAGCAACAAGGTAGGGATGAGGCCCTGTGCCAGGCTCCGGTGTGCTGTACAGCCCTGGAACAGGCTGTTTGCACTGAACTCTACTACACCATACTGTAGTGTCCTGCTGATGGACTGTACTACACCATACTCTAGTGTCCTGCTGATGGACTGTACTACACCATACTCTAGTGTTCTGCTGATGGACTGTACTACACCATACTGTAGTGTCCTGCTGATGGACTGTACCACATCATACTCTAGTGTCCTGCTGATG